AATATTAGGTTGGCCCATAATTAGTGAATCACTTTGAATTTATTGCTATAAATTCCATGAAAAATCTTGAAGGCGTGAAACATGTTTTGCCAAGTAGTGACCACAATGTCCTACCTAAGCAATCAGTCGGCCCGTTCACACGTTTCCTTCCGAGGCTCAAATTTCAATTTTTCTGAAATCTTCCCCCAAACACGATATGAAATCGCCATGTTCGCTCCTGCTTCCCAGAGTTCTTTTCAGTGATCATCCTGCGTACTCACCAGTGTTGTGAAGTGGGTGGAGTGTGCTAGCAAATTCACAAGGAGCAGCAGAGTAGCTTGAAAGATTGGAGAGTTCTGACAGCAAAAGCCTGTCTGTCTCCACTTCCTGAGATTTTAGTGGGCAGCAGAACAGACCTGGCGCTGGGAACCAGAGCCTAGTAATACTAGAGTCAGTGAGTAAGGCATACGTTGACAGCATAATGGCGATGCGTTCTATCTGAGGGTAAAGCAAGACAAAGTCTGGTTTTTTTCTGAGGTCATTCGACCCCACCTTTCGGAAAATCTTCATAAAAAATTGGAGACCTTTGGGCTAGCAGTTCTTCCAGCTCTACCGTGAAGCCCTACCCTCGTATCAGCGAAAGATAACCTAGACTTACTTATACCATTATTCTTCAGGAAGAAATTTTACGCCAAGTGACATGACCTCAAACCTGACTTCCGATCTTCCTTTTATCAATAATCTCCTGGAATTTCCAGAGAGGAGACGGCGACCAAATTCCCATGTGTAGGCAATAGTTTGTAGATAACAAAGGTGTATGATTAGATGAGCAAGCACTTCATATGAAAAAGAAAAAAATTGAAATTGAAAAATGCCCAAAGTGATTCACTAATTATGGGACAACCTAATAGCTTGCGCGTGAAATGTTAGGCGAAGTACCACTGACAAAACTCGTCCCGCTGGTCGCTCGCCACGTTCCACAGACCGCCTTCCTCGTCCTGCGGGATACCATGGACCATACGCGTTGACCTCATGAATCAAAAATTGGTCGCTAAATAGTAGAGTATAAGACAACATATCCACTAACCACCGAGCCTGGGCGCACACAGGTCCACCATTTGTGGCACGCAGTGAAGATTATGCGCTCTGTGAAGAACACGTCGGACCTTTGCCAGAGCCCAGAAGGGCTCCAAAATCACGGCTATTTTTTGTTCCGAAGTGCGCCGCATATTTTTTACCAAAACGGCAGTAATATGACATCGCCGATGAGGAATTCGAGAGTAATTCTCATTTCGCTCCACCATACCGCAAAAATGAGACGAACCTACAATTATAACACACTGTAGATAATCTGCGCTCCGGAGGCAGCCTAACGGAAGGAGCGCAAAATATCACCTGACCATCTTTTGCATACATGATGTTTCAGCAACCTAAAATTTGACATTCGTATGGATATTGCGAAGGAGAACATGTCCCGCCCGATATTAAGCTTATTGCAGTTACTATACCCTAATCATACCTACGCAAAAACGATTATCATGGACATGCCACCACAACGCAGAGGTTTGCTGCGGTATTACATGCTGCCCCGATACGGATATATCTTGCCGTTGGAACAAGCAAGTCTAGCTTTCATTGCATTTGCAGATTTGCAATACGAATGCGATATTTGAAGTGTACACAGTTTAGGATCACTACTAACTGTCCATGTATTGGCAGGTGTATCGGTTGCTTCCTGTTCTTGTAATCTAATTGCTTCTCTGCTCGTAATCCTTTTATTATGCCTGTATCTGTACCTGACTAGGCCGAAGAACAAGTACGCGCATACGTGTTTCAGACGTCTTCTTCAAAAGTTTCGCTCTTCATTTCCTGTGTTGCAGTACCAATGAAGGAATGAGGGGCCGGTCTATTGACTACACCCCGATGTCCATGAGCATGGAACCAGCGGATGCTATCGAAGATGACGCTTCCTGAACATTTGATCCGCGGCGAATTCCTGACAGCACAAATATAAACGTATTTTACGTGAATCCTGTGCTACACTTAGCCAAATTAGCAGATAAACGCAACCGTTATAAGGAACTCGAATTCATCAGAGAAAATGTGTCAATTAATCGAGCCTGTTCCCAATAGGCCTAACAATTAGCAACATTCTACAAAATTTCAGAGGAAGTTTCAGCCAGGCTACTTCCGATATGTTAATTCTTGTCTATGGAAAAACTATTCTTGCAAAAGATACTTGATCTTGTCGACCTCTTTTTCTCTTTGTATATTTCGAGCTACTCTCACCATAAGAGCATTTCTGCACACATCAAACAACCTGTTTTCAGAATAGGTTTTATAGAAAACTATTGTATAAACGTCTTGGAGAGGGATGGTGAGGGATGTATGATTTGCACTGAGCTCTGCTGGAAATCTGCGACTAACAAATCGTCGTGTTCGGAAAGTTTATGCAAAGGTCGACAAAGGGAGATTTCAAGGAGAGAAGAGCAGCCGTCTTGGCTGAAACAGTAGGGGGGGGGGGAGGCATGCTGCACTAGCCGCCGAAGTTTTGTCGGCTACAGAACCACTACGGCCCAGGGTCAACCGTACGTTGCGCAGATCTCAAAACTTCTACGATCCCCTTCTTCTACGATCCCCTTCTTGGGGGTATCAGTGCGACCCCATGGATTAGCTAGTGTCGTTTCACTATGTGTGGGCCATCACCGACACCGACATGGAGAGGTGGAGGACAACAGCAAATCCGCGCGCTTTGTCTCGCTCAGAGGACGGGATCGAGGCAACATGAAATTTTATTCATTAAATAGAAGGAATTTCCAAATTTTTGCGTAAACCTAGGCATGGTAGTAATCGCAAAGATTTCTACTTTCAGAAACCTACCAAGTTTTTTCGAACTCTCAATCTCCTTTTTATAAACTGAAAAACTAAACCTTGCAGCAATTACGTTACGATACAAACCTCTCCATTCAAAAGGTTATATCTTTCTTCAGAAGCGGTCTCATGAGATGGGATACAAAAATTTGAAAATTCAAATTGTTTTCTTTCTAAAAAGTTTTAAACTTATGCAAATGTTCAATTCAAAAAAATCGTCCCGTTGTTCCGTTTTTGTGCACACGCGAGTTTTCATCATTCAAACATTCATAACTTCCTTCATAATCAACTTTTTGCAGATGTCTAAGGCTAATTAGAAACTAGAAGATTAGCGCTTTCAAACAAGCACCTGAATTTTCCAAAGATCACTTCTCAAAAATAGTCCCGTTGTTCCGTTTTTAGGGGTTTGTGGTCCGATTTTTGAGAAGCGCGAGTTTTCGACATTCAAACGTTCATAACTTCCTTCATATTAACTTTTTTCGATGCTAATTAGAATTAGAAGATTGACCCTTCAGAAAAATGTCAAGATTTTTCTGCAGCAATAGCAGCGAACATCTGCTCGCTTCTTTTGTCTGGCCGTTTAGTGAGCTCCGTCCGCAGTTGGGCGCAGCAAATACGAGATGGGTACAGAGCGGTCATTGGCTGCGCTATTCACGCTCAACAATAGGTTTCAGGTACGTTTACCTAATCCGAAAAATCACCACAATGAACGAATAGGATCAAGCGCTGAACTGGAGAAACCGAGCCGCATGGGAGCATCTAGAAACATTGAGGCGCCCCAGAAAACTGGACAATACGCAGACATGACTAACGTGTTTACGGTCAGCGTTATCCAACGCGCTGTCGAGAGGACGATGCTAGGAGTAACCCTATACACGCAAGTGCAGAGGGGAATCCGGAGTGCCGAACTACGCCAACGATCGAAGATCAGGGACGCTGCCGTTTTCGCCAAGGAATCGAAGATAAGGTGGGCCGGACACGTCATGCGATTTTGCGATGACCGTTGGACCAGAGCGGTTACCGACTGGATCCCTCGGGACGTCAAACGAACACCTGGACGACCGCCGGCCCGATGGTCATTTTCAGAAAAGTTGCTGAACGAAAGCAATGTTGAGCTATCCTTTGAACGAGAAGGAACCACCGATGTACTCTGTTACGCACAGGGATGAATGGAAACCTTATTTGCGCTTGCTTGAGAGACTATATACAATGCAGCAACAGATGATACATGTCGCACAACCAGTTTTCAGAAGTTCAAACGCTGCACAAATGTTCCTGTGTTCCCCAGCTTCTATTTTGTTGTTGAGTTCGAGTTGATGAAGTCTTTGCTAATAGCTTGAATAAATTTTTCTAAGAAAGCTTGCCTTGTTTCATGATTCGCCTATTCGCCTTTGCTCAAAAAACCATGCGAAAGTATTCTGACCCGATAGGAACGTGTTCGACCATTGGAATCGCCCCCAAAGACTGAATTGATAGATGCAAATTGGGGTTTCAGCGAGAAATCAGAATCTCCTCCCGCCTATGGATTTCGCCATCGGAACCGTGCATGAATCACTTCTATCTATGCATTTGTCATGGGAGAGTTCTGGGCGACACTCGGGGGCATCAGAATCCGCATGTGAGCAGAGCCAATTTTCAAGGCGCTTACCTTCACTTCTGTACCGCCGCAACCACACAAAAGATGAGACAGATCGATGGGAGAGTCATTCTCTCTAAGCTGAAGTAGACCGAATCTAATCAACCCGGGGCGAGCCGGACGACAAATACTGGCCTTGACGTAACGTGTGTGAGCCATCGTAACAAGAATTTCTTCCCTCACACCCCAACGCCCCTCGCCAGCACTCCAACGTGTGACGCTACCGCCCCGACAATGCCTACTCCATCACGAGCCATTTACACACCTCCCCACATGCTATCTACGAAATCCATCTGCGTCCCATCCGAGGTTAGTGGTGCTCTAGTCTTGCATTCCTTCTACTTCCGAAAACATGCTACACGGTCATTGACGATGCTGCTATACGAAGTTATTACGCCCTATTAGTGCACCAGCGACAGGATGTAAAACAATAATTTATTAGGTTATATGGTTCAGTACTCATTTTCAAGACATTTGAGACTAGTCATATTGATAACATGAACACCTGCAGTTGTCACGGCCTGAAAGAATGCGTTTCAGTCAGAAATCTGCAGGTGCGAATGGCGGTGGACCAACCTTGGAGGAGGCACGAAGTTCTGCCATATCTTCATATCTATGTACGTTCCAGAAATCATCTCGTGTGTTTTCAGGCAGTCGGTCTTCTTCCCAGTGATACGGTCGCTATCCGTATCAAGTTTTTCCTTGAAGAGAAGTGAATTAGAAGGTCCACTTGTCTTTTGGCACTCCGATTGAGCTCAGCTTGTCATTGTCAGAAGTTAAAAGGTGGTGCTTACTGTGGCTGGGGCAGGGCCAGCACGTGGCGCGCAAGTTTGCTCGTCTGCGTCCTCTCACCGTTGCACTGTTTCATTTGAAGTAAGTGGCGGAATTAGCGAACTAGAGAGAATGCGACCTGCTTTGATCTAGAGGGTAGGGCAAGCAATTTGAAGGGTTCCACGTAAGGTCGGATGTTGAACAAGAGGAAGTACTGTCCAGTGCTGTACAAGCGGGCCTCCCTGGGGTGCGGAACGATGTGCGCTCATTAGCAAAGGGTGTGCTCCTAGCGGCCTGATAAGGCCGTACTTTCGACACTCGCGACGCTATACGCCCTACGAAGAATCTCCACCCCCTCGCTTTCGGATTCAGCCGTGGATATTACTTTACTGGTGCAGAGCTTTGCCGCTGTTGGCGTCAGCACCGACAAGGCTCGAAAAACGGAGAACCACGGACGAAAGTGGTCCCTTTCTCGGTTATGCCTTGTTTTTCATTCTTGCAGCACCTACTACCTCAATCTTGATTTCTGATGGGCTACCTTTTTACCGTGATTTTCGCCTCTAAAGACAAGTGTTAAATATATTGGCAGTTGAAGATGAAAAACGGCAAAGATAAAGAAGTTATTCCCTTAGAGAAGCAAAGCGTAGCGCTTCCGCTAATGAGCAGTGCACGTAACTGCCTAGAATGCTGGTCCCCAACTAGTATTTCAATGCTTTGCTCCTATGCTCGCCACGGGTTCCAGTCGTTCCAAGGAGGCAGTGCATATGCTCCACGTTTGTGATGCCAGCATCGTACTCGACAGGAGCGGCGTCACGCTCCAGAAGGCAGAGACGTAGACGGGTCAGCGGGTGAGTCACAGCGTCATTGCCAGCAATTTGATCAAGACGTAAGCAAACCAGCCCTTTTGGCGCTTCGGCTGGGACCGTATGCTGAATGTTGGGGAGGGGATGGAGTCCCCGACGGTGGACGGACCACTTCAACTCGGTCCTTAGAACCGCCACAATTTGGTGCTTACCTCAGAACTAAGCCTTAAAGAGAGGACGGGTCCGTCCCCTCTCCAAGGCTTAGTCCTGGGTGAGCAAACCAGCCCTTCTGGCGGAGCTGCTGGACCAGCTGCACCACTTGCGTCAGTACTCTCCTATCGTACCAACCGAGTTGAAGTAAACCGTCGACCGTTGGGGACCCCATCCCCTCCCCAACATTCAGCATACGGTCCCAGCCGAAACGCCAAAAGGGCTGGTTTGCTTACCTCGACAAATTTGATGGAATGCACTATATTGCGTCCCACATTGCACAATATGTGCTGCGACTGTCCGCTAATTCGTCTGCGTCTCTGCCTTTTCGATGCGCGACAAGCCTCTTGTTAGGTACCCCATTCATTTCCATCGGCGACCAACTTTATCAGCCATCCGCCTTAAAGGACACATTCCACGAAAAATTCGTTGGATTAATCTCTACTGCCAGTTACGGGTACCCCCAGGAGGCCCGTCGCGCGGCAAGAAGGCAGAGTCGGCGGACGAGTTGCAGCGCGTGATGTGCGATGTAGGACGTGCAATGGGACACTCTATTTAACTTGACGCGAAATCCCTATAGTACGCGCGCGACTCGTCCGCTGACTTTGCCTTCTTGCCGCGCGACGGGCCTCCTGGGTATCTGCCGTCTCGCTCCCCTCTTTGCTTTTTCTTTTCGTTGTCTTGCGTCAGCCCTCAGCGGCTCTCAAGCTGTTCCATACTCTTCGCCGTTAAGAAAGATGAGGGGAATGCTTTGCTCTGAGAACGCATTCGATACCCCAGCAAATATTTTGTTTGTTATAAGCAACTTTTCAGGTGAAGCTACGTAAGCTATTCGAATGTCATAGTTAACCCATACTGGCTGCCGCAGAACGTGCAATTAGCTTATGTGAATAAGAGGAACGGTGTAATTTACGGCAGCTGGTGTGCGCGCACACACATAAGTGGACCATCGCGCTGCTTACTGCATCCCCTCAACTCATGAAGCGACTAAGGTACTTAACACATTGCAGCCCGCGTGCATCGCCGGGTATGCACATCTGTATTTTGCTCCCCCATGAACCTTTTCCAATACTTCTTTGACTAATTGACTTCCGTTAGTCTCATTAATCCGTAGAACGTGTGGCATGTCGACAACTTCAATTTCAACACAAACAATCAGATTCTAATACGCCTACCTACTGAACAAGTTATCATCAATTACGAAATTTGCATGCAGTTTGCGCTTCAGACTTCGAGTTTCTTTGGCAATCAAAAACAAACTATTATCGGAAAATTTTCCTAATCAACACGTCTACTAGCTCGCAGAAATACGTACGAAACCAAGCTAAACACTTAAAACTCATAATTGGTATAGGGGAACGAAAGCTCCCGCGCCTTCCAACGAATCTGCTATGTGGGTCCCGTAAGGGAAACGCACGAAATGTCCCACATATGAGATTAAAGCATCGCCGAGTATGCGCGCACGCAATACCGCCAATGACACATGTGTGACATGCGCCGAAATCGGCGCGGGCGTCAATGTGTTAAAATGAAGAAGTGAAACACTTACGTTCTCTACAGTTGTCACTTGTGTAGTCACTTTTGGCATAGCTTCATTTAGAAATTCATCTTCTTTTCGTTTTTTTCGACCCTGAGAGAATCATGTGTATTAGACGAAGGCTTACAAACGAGCACAGAAAAATACGACAAAGTGGGAAGCAAGAACTTCTCGGATACCGAATATACCTACTGAAAACGCGCCACCCATTGCCACATACAGAAATGAATGAAACTTCACCCTAATTCTTAGTCGGAACTACCCTGATCTTGCATTTATCACACTAAAATCACTT